TTCTTCACGCTTTCATGATATCGGTCCCGCATCTCTCTTCTCAGCATCTTACCCGAGGGGGTTCTGGGAATCTGGAAAAGTCGTTAGCACTAGCAGCTCACGTTGGGTGAGTACTTACCGAATCCACAACCTCAATGCCACCAGTCAGCCACTTGTGTCGGCTCAGACGTCCCTCGATCCACTGATGCAGCTTCTTTGAGACATCATCTTCCCCTTGCTTCTGGCCCTCAGTGGTCAGTACAATCCACGCGCGGACGAACAGAGAGCCATCGCCGCGGCCGTTGTCAACACCCGCTACGCACGCATCGCGCACCAGACCTTCTGGGTGATCGAGCAGCGTATCTTCAACCTCCGTAGCAGCGACCTGGAGACCTTTGACTTTGATCATCTCCTTCAGGCGATCGAGATAGTGGATACGGTCACGCTCGTCGCGCATCACGAGATCGCCAGTGCGTAGCCAACCAGGCTCAGTGAAAATGTCCGCAGTAGCTTTCGGGTCCCTGAAGTATCCAGGGGTGACGACTGCTCCGCGCGCCCAGAGCTCGCCCTTCTCGCCTTTGGGCACATTGTTAAGTGTCTCAGGGTCTACAACCCGAGCCTGCATACCCGGTAGCAGATAACCGATCATACCGGGTAGTGCAGGCTCCAATCCAAATATGCCATGCGCAGCCGGGCTCGCGATACTGGCTGCTTCGCTCAGACCATAGCCACTTGGCACCGGCATCCCCGCACCTTGAGGCAGCTTCTTGGCCAGTTGGTATGCGACATCTGGTGGCAGATATGCAGCGCCGCTCGACGCGCCGATCACAGAGCTCAGGTCGTACTTCTCAGTCAATGGACTCTGGGCGAGTTGGCGAACCAGAGGTGGCACCAGTGGAAGATGTGTAATCTTGTACTTTTGTATGCTCTTCAATGCGAGCTCAAGGTTCCATTTCGGCAGCATAATGCTCGTCTGTCTGATCATATTGACGCGAAGGATCCAGATGATCATACCGTATGAGTGGTACATTGGTATGACGCCAAGCATAGTAACGGGTGTCAACGGTTCGTCTCCTGCAAAGCGCGCGGCCTGCGTGGCAGTAATAAGCGTCTGTATTCCAGAGTGGTAACCATTACTGTGTGTGATCATCATTGCCTTTGGTAGACCCGAAGTTCCTGAAGACTGGAATAGATATGCCATTCGATTTCCCCCAAGCAGCTTCCGCGGCTGCTCCAACAGCTTTGAACCCTCCCTCACGAGCGACTCGATCGTACGGTATCCCGACACGGTATCTAGTTGAGAATTGTCGCTAAGCACGATGACTTTGTTGGGATTCAACTTGAGCTTGAGGGGTAGATTGTCGCCGTCACCAGTCCCTAGCTTTAGCGCTTCTCTCAAAACAGGAAGTAGTGTCTCATGACACATGATGCTGGTAATTTGCATCTTTCTGAGCACCCACCATAGCTCGTACGGTGTACTCGCGGGACTGATGCCCCCAAATACCAGCTCCGATCGAAAGCATGCGTGCGCAACCATTGGATAATGCAGTTGATTCCGCGAGAATAGCGCTAGGATCTCGCCATCTTCCTTGTCGTCTATGGGGCTCTTGTCTAAGCCTAACGGATTTGGTCCGTCATACCGGAAGACACGCGCCAATGCACACACTCGAGCATAGAAGCTGTGGAGTGTAACCACTTCTTCTGTTACAGCGTTGATGAATAGAGGGTAGTCCTCGGGTAATGGATTGTTCGACGGAAAGCAGAGTTCGTGGATGTTGAGATCGTCTGGTGTCGGTGGGAATGGTCCATATGGCGACGAAAATACAGCCTCGTCGTGAGGTCGATAGGTGTCTTTGGCAGGATCTGGAGCGTCAGGGCCTAGGTATCTGGACCAGTGAGGTTTAAAGATGCCGTATGTCATATCGAGATTTGAACGAAAAGATTTTACAGAGTATTAAAGATTTCCTGCAAGATATCGAGACATGGGCGCGACTACACAAAAGTGTCCCGCCAATGTTGCGTTTCTGTGGCACTTATGGGCTTCCGAGGTGTACTGCGCGCCCCGCGTTCTCTCCACATTCGATCCTGACATCGCGCACGCGAGTAAGCCCAGAAACGCCTCATTATAGCCTTCCACGTGGGGCAATGCCGTGTGATGAACTGAAAGGGATGCTCTGATGTAGGTTGTTGGCGTCTTGAGGAATGAAATGACCGGAGACCGAGATGGCAGGCGGCGCTGCTGCGGTGGAACCACTTCCGTGGAGTCATTCCCTCTTCAACTTTCGTGACAGCAGCCGTCAACATACAGCCCCAGGCGCATACCACACAGTCCAACGATATTCCGACAACGCAGTAGCCGCCTGTCGCGTAATGCAGTCATCTCTGGAAAGGTCCAATATGAGCTGGCATTAGCCGCGTGACTTGCTTAGCCCTGTGGCTGTCTGCAGCTGTCGGACCCAACTTCACGTCTAGCCCAAATTGGTCATTGCACGTTTCAGCTGACGGCGCGCCAAATTCGAGATTCAGCCAACGCGATATCCCTACGACTTCTTGACGCGTCTTGATCTACTCGATCAAGACTGCAGAAAGATTATGGAACGCCTGGAATGTCTGTTAGCTCTCCACACCCGCATACAGGTGCGCGGGTGTGCATAGCTGGAAACCTCGCGTATGTATGAGCCCCCCTGATGCAACTAGAGATCGTCGCGCTTGAGTCTCAGCCTTCTCAGCCCTCAGCCCCCAACATCGCCTTGCAGCCTGCCCATCTATAAATCCATCTCGCCACCCGCTCTGGCATGGTTGCGCGTTGTCAGTGTCCGTACCTAGGTAGCGACCATGTCTACTTACTCCGACAACAGCAATGGCAAACCCTCCAAGAGAGGCACGATCCCCGCACTTTGGTCTGCGAAACATATTCCGCACAGTGCAGACTTCCCTGACCCATATGAATTGATTGGAGATGCATACGAGAGGATACCAGTCGCAGACGAGTGGGAATTGCCGGACCCGTAAGTTCACAGCATTGACAGTCTTCCAGGTCAAGACTCACGTAATGCAGCAACAGCAAGAGCCGGCCGTATTTGGCTCACATCAAATCGCTGTCGACTTCGTGGAGGACTTTACGACATCTAGCGGACTGGATGCAGGTTAGCACTACCCCACTACGCTGGAATGAGATCAAAGAGCACCCAGAGGAACGCGAAGCCCGTGCGAATAAGACAAACGTCACCTTCGTCGAGTATCGTCCTGCCACTGCACCAAAAGCTACAGCGATTAAATCGCCTGCTTTGCTTCAAGAAACTCTTCAAGCTCTGTCGTTTGAGCATACGAAAGAACCTCCCCTGCGCCTCTTCATAGTAGAAGACCTATCTCGACAAGTCATTGAGCTGCTGGGAGCGCGTTTCGATATAGATCCATTGTTCTTTCGAGAGCAGATCGATGATTACGTATGGCACAACACCCGTGACCCCTGGGCGTCACCACCCAGCCTAGTCTCAAGTATGAGACATCGGCCCTGGTTCAGGATGCGCAATATGAGGTTACGATACCACAAAACAGAAGAGGACTACTTCAACTCGAGGCTGGAAGCAAACTCTTGGAACGTACTCAGACGGCCTGATAACGATGAGAACCATTGGCATTACCAAGATGGAAAGGGAGCAGTCGTGTCCATTATGCGCACGCGTACATCCATGTGGATCGGCAAGGACAAGAAGTGTGGTAATGGAACCGTCGGTATCGTCTTGCTAGATCCAACTGTTAGCCAAGGCCGGCCACTCTGTAAGTACTAACGCAACATGACAGTAGCTGAGGTACTGAATTGCCTTACTGACACTATAAAGGGTATGATCGTAGTAACTGGTTGCCAACACCCAAGATGGACACCAAAGTTTACCCCTCAATCAAGTCTTCAGTATCCTGGTTCGAAGACATTGTCCAAATGACGACTGCCTTCCCGTGGTTTGAGCGGAAAGAGGGAAATGAGATTAACGCGCAAGTCCTCGCCAAACCAACTATATACACCATCTGCGCAGAGTGGCTCATAGTGTGCGACTATGTAAGAGCTCGTCTCAGCCAGATAGAGTGGGAACTCGAGATGCCACGCCTCTTCCGCTCGAAAGGTGATGCCATTGACACTTCACTCAAGCGTCTGCATACCTGGCGGCGGCAGATCCCAGTGTTTCGGGAGATGATAACGGAGACGTTGGAACATGCGCTTCCGGCTGCAGCGCGGCTTACTACCCCGTCTACTCAGTCCTCCGCTGCGCCCACATCACCTCTCTCCGTACGCTCACTCTTTTCCGACAACCTGACCATAAATTACGATAACGTCGAAGGGTTCGAGGACATAGTGCCTGATTTCAAACGCGTCCTTGCCGCTGTCAATGAACTACAGGAGCGAGTTGACCGCCTGACTAGTATTGTCACATCGGAGATCTCCATCGAAGATTCGCGTCGCGGGCTCGAGGAGAACCATAACATGGCGAGGATAACATGGCTGGCGACCATCTTTATCCCGTTGACGTTCATATCTGGGCTGTATAGCATGAACGAGAGTGTTTCAGCATTGAAGACGACGTATGGTTGGTACTTCCTGACGGCCGTGCCATTTACGTTGATCGTCATGGCAATCGGCTGGGTGGCTGGAGGCGGCAGTCTGACACCGTGGAAGAAAAATACTACAAAGCAAAAGGGCATGATTGGGGGAAGAGACAATAAGAAAGCCAAGTGACTCAGTGTCACAATGTCTTAGGCGGTAGACTTCTCTACGTTCAGACGACGTACTAATGTAGTGTTCCTATCAGCTCCCAACCTGGACCACCACCAAGGCTTAGTTTGGCTACCATGTCCTCCCGGCTACAACGTGAATCTGAAACTAGGGTGTTGATGGCCAAATCTATCCGCATCCGCTCGCAGCAGTCTATCATTCCGTTCACCTCTCTCTCGCTTTCTGTTTTCCCAGCCGAGGTACCAGCACTGTATGGCGGCGAGTACGATCGTCACTACCAATGCACCAAGGCTTACAGAATGGCCTAGAACATATTTCGGCGCATCGCGCTGAAGATAGATGAACGTGCCTATGAAGGCCGAGCAATTAGCGATGCTGATTACCATGCCAATTCCGACTGCGCGGACATAGTGAGGCGCAAGATTGTTGGACGCCCATCCCTGATGACAGATGAGTAAAGTAAGCATTTCGGTTCGCGGGCGAAGCTTACCATAAGCATGGGCGAACCCTGGAAGACACCGATCGCGACCAGGAACGTCCCGGCGTACCGCACGGCATTCGTCGTGGCCACTATCAACATAACGTAACCGCATATCCCTATCACGCAACCTCCTATAATGAAATAACCGCGATTCTTCAACTTGTCGGAGGCGTATGCCGTGCCAATGACCGTGATGAAAGCAGCCATGTTAGGTGGTACCGTAAAGAGCTGCGCGGTGGTGCTTTGATAGCCCATGCCGGCGATGATACTAGGAAGGAACAGCGAAAAGCTCTGTCAAGCTTTAGCATAGTCTCCGGCGTTTGAGATCCGAAAGGAGCTTACATAAAGCGGCACCAACAAGAAAAACCAGATGAAGGCAGAAAGGTACGTCTGCGGGGCTTTGAGTGCCATTTTGACCCAATACCAACTAAACTTCTCATCGTCAACATCAACTTCGGTGGATCCTCCTGCATCAAGCCTCATGCGTCGCAATGCCCACTCCTTCTCTTCATCACTCAAGAATCCTGCTGCGGCGGGGGTATCCGGCATGAAGAAGAAGCATACAATGCCGAACACAACAGTGATTGCGCCCTCGACTGAGATCATGTCAGCGCGACATCTCCACAACGTGAAACATTAGCGAGAACTTACTAAAGAAGATCCAGGGCCATCTTCGATACCCCCCAACCTCGATGGTTGCCAGTCCCGAAGCGAGCAGTCCACCAAAAGCCCCAGATAGAGGCGCGGCGCAATAAAAGAGACCGCTTCTCAGCAGCATCTCGCCTCGCCTATAGAACATCGCAAGGTAGATGATCACGCCACCGAGAATGCCTCCTTCACATAATCCCAGCAACAGTCTACATGCCACCAGCCCTGCAAATGACTGCACGAAGCCCATGAACGTACACACTAGACCCCATGCCGTGATCAGAGCTGGTAGGTATATCCCGGCGCGCAAACGCTTAACGAGTAGGTTAGACGGTACGTCGACCAGGATGTACGGGATGTAGAAGACGAGGAGGGCGATGTTAAAACGTGTACCGGTTGTGATGGAAAGTTCATCGGACAGGCCGGCTATCCTTGCGTTGCCAATGTTGCTGCGGTCTATGAACGAGAAGAGCCTAGAATTCTCACTCAGTATAGGCCGTGAACAGTGTGGAGTAGCAAAATACCATATCCCGAACAACCAAGGCAGAATACGGAGGTCGAATTTGCGATTCAGACGCTTATCCAGGGCTTGATCGATCGTCTCATCGAGTGTGATCGCCTTTTCGATGCGTTCAGTGTCTGTTTCCTTGGGCTTATCCATTGTGGCTGGTTGGTAGACTAGTCACGGTAGAACGCGCTTTCACGGCAGCAACAGGAGAAGAGTGCGAACAGAAAATGGAATACACATTAACAACACCGAAGGATCTAGCTAGTGTAACGCCCACGTCCGAGCAACTGTACATCTTCCCGAACCAATGTTCATAGGCTAAAGTCTCTCCACATTGCGGGGAAGTTTCGAAGGATCACCAATGCTGCGGGGATATCTCCAAAGAGCATGCCGAGCTATGGAGAAAGGCTTGTTGACCAGTGAGCTTCTCTCCAAATGTCTTGTGCAAGGGCGATGTGACGGATAATGTTTCCCCGAGCAGTGCGAATGAGGAGACAAGCTGCGCGGCTGGTAAGCGAGATGTCAAGAAATGTGGCTGACGATGGCCCGAACCACGTGCCGGTAGCGCGCCGTTGCCGCCACCTATTTCGTCATGAACGCCCAAAATCCTCTAGCCAGAATAATGCTCGGCAAATCAACAACACGGTAGAAAATCTCTCCAACTATAGCGACCAGCGGTGCGCAGACCAAGAAGCAGACAAAAGTGCTCAGAGAACCGTTCATGCCGGCGTCGGCCATGTGCGTGTATAGCTTGATACCGGCGGTGTAGATGAGTATCGATTGGACGAGGAAGTAGCCTGGGATGTGTAAGTAATTGTTCAATGACTTTGTCGAAGGGTTGCGACTTACTAAAGCTCCTCTTGCCTAGCGAAACGAAGAAGCCTCCGCGAAGGATAGCCCGGGGCAGTTCGAACGTCTCAATCAGAAGCATCGACCCAAGGATGATGAGGTAGTTGTCAACCCTCGCCATCGGCTGGTCTAGATCTACGTTCTCGTTCAAGAATCCGTCATCGTACAGCGCGGTGTGACCCCATAGCTCATTGTCGCGCATGCCTGGTTTTCCGGAGATGAAGACGAACTGCAGCACAACACCGGTAAGGACCATCGCAGCGTAAAGTGGCCATACTGGGATACCGAAGTTGCCGATCTTAAATCCTCGTTGGGACCGGGCCTTGAAGTCCATGTTGAGGACCGCATCCGCAATGATTAGGCCGGTGACGCTGTACCAGGCCCAGCTCTGTACCCAGAACGCAGCTACGATGAAAGCTAGCATAGCCTTTACTCGCCATGAGGTGCGTGTATTCGGAACAATGACCATGGTGATGTAGACGGTGTAGCTTTGCTGGAAGAGCACGGACACTATCCAAAGCGTACCAGATGGGAAGACATCGTTGGCGGCTTGACTAGCGTATCGCTTGTTGACCCAGAAGATCTCAAAAAGCGAGTTGAAGTAAACCAAGAAGCTCTGGATCCGCGTCGGTGCGATGGTGGAGATGTTGCCAGTAGAGGCCAAGAAGTCGGAGATGTAGTCGGTCGAGGTTGTGCTGAATGCCGCTGCCGCAAAAGAGTAGGCGATGAAAGTCGGAACCCATAACCTGATACCACGGCGGAAGACACTGGATGCGCCGACTTCACGCGTCTTGTTGGCGAGGTATGGCAAGCAAATGGTTCGCGCGGAGAGGAAGATAATCCATGAGTAGATCAATGCCTCGTTGGCGAAGATAACTGAAAATGACTTTCGAAGTGCGACCTGGTACGCCGGGCCATCAACATTCTTCGAGTCTGGAAGGGCGGCTGGAAGAAAGGTCTGGAAGAACACGTAGAGGAACGATTGGAATACAAGCAGGCCACGAAGCCCAATGAGGTAGTTCTGGTCAGCCGACAGGGTTGTCGTTCCTTGCTCGGTCGACGACGAGGGGAAGACAGCCTTGAGTTTGGATGAAAGGGTAGGCTCCATTGTTGCAGACATCTTGTTCGATACCGCGATAAAGATGAGAATCTCGGTGATAAAGAGGAAGAGTAGCTTACAAGCAAGGCAATTTACCCTCGACTTCTGATTCCACACAGACAACAAAACCAGCACGACCCTTGGCGACTACTTGCGGCAGTCGCACCACGTCCCGTACCAAAGACCCCCCGTGGGAGACCCGAGATCAGCACCTTGGCCACCAGAACGACCACGTACCTGAAGGCGACTTTTCTTTCCGTGACTAGCACAGCATCTGCCTACCGAGCACGGGAAGCGTTGAGCTTAGTTGCAACGCAAGCTTCCGAGCACAATTCAGGCGCATGCATGCCAAGGGTCAGCTATGCTTTTTGTGGCGTTCTCTACGTCCCGCTGAGCAGTTGTTCGATAAGCGTTGACCCTAGTCGAGGCTGGCAGCGGGTCACTTTGGCGGCATACAATAGTTCGCATTTCTGGCATCCGGACCACTTACACGAAGCGGGCGGCTGTTGATCGTTATCTTGATCTCGGATGTTGAATTGTCGGCCTGCCGACTTGTAACGTTGCCGTCTTCATCATACACATCCCAGACGCACGTCGTGACGTGCTCGATCAAAAGCACCCTGATCCCTCAACACCCAGGTACCGCCGGGCAACGGCCTTCCTCAGAACCTTCCACGTGTGGCGCATGGGGCAGCCCTACTTGGGCATCTACACCTGTCAGTGACCGCCATGTCAACTGCGGCCGTCCGTGCACGTTGATTTTCATACCGAACATCCGTGCGATAGGCCACGAAGGGTCGTGAAATCCGCACGTTTTCCAAAATCCGAGGGGCTGACTCGTGTGCTCACACCAAAAAAGGAAGGTCCGCGTTCCGGAGAGCAGAAACCAGTTGAGACAGATCCTACTCACCGAAGATAACGCCGTGTCGAATTTTTCTAGCAAGTTTGCGGATGGTTCCGCCGGCCTACGATGCTGTGCTACCCGCCAGGTGTAGTGTGGTAGGTAGCATCCCACGCGGCCTAGGGAACGCACACTTGCGAAGTGGATCTACGCGCTAGCGAGCGCGTGTCGATCGCCCGCATAGTCGACTTGTAATGTCCCGGCCACCCCTGGTGCTGTTGATTATTTCCTTTTTCATGTCGCTAGGCCGATGCTTTCTGGCAACGCATCAGGGTGCAGGGTCCGTTTCAGTAAAGCGCTGCCCTTCGGCCCTGCTTCATGCTAGGATTTTACTTATCTCTGAGTTTACCTTCCGTGATAGACTGTGCGTGACAGATCGGAAATCGTATCGCCGACGTGAGGAGCCCGGGATAAGGCTGATGCTCTGCATTCCGCTATGATGCCGCGCGTTATCTCATAGATCGAGTTTCACATGTTGACCACTCAGGAGCCAGAACAACAGAGTCAATCGATGGACAATGATCATTGGTAAATGAGAAGAGCGCATCATTTCTCGAAGAACCTTATCTGCGACAACTGTCATCGTGTCAAGATGTGCAGGAATAGTATGTAGTAATAGTGATTATGATGTAATTAATCGTGTATTATGTACTGATGCGTGACTCATGAAAGCCTCAGCCGCCATTAATGGCTTGCGAGCTTCATCCCGAACTAAACGAGAGCGTTCAAAGCCTTGTGCACCTTCCCTATGATATTGACAATAAAGAAAATTAAGAAGATAATATGGTATGGTGTGGCCCTACTTCCTAGCTGTTGGGTTCCAGGAGCTGTACTTGACAAGCTGACGAGCGTGGCCGTAAAGACCGATTGTGGCGTTGAGAACCAGGTAAAACGGGTACAGAACCGAGAAGAGAATGATCATCCTTCTGGAGATGTACTCGGATTTGACCTGGTTGGTGATCCAAAGAGTAGCAATCAAGCAGACAATACTGTGACACGACACCGTTAGCGAGGTACAAGATTACGTCGAGGGCTGTACGAACCTGATAATAAAAAGCCACTGTGATACGGGGTACTGGAAATAGACCAGCTTCCAGAGCTCCTCCCCGGACGTCGGGAACTTGACGATAACGAATGATGCGACTAAACACGTGTACTGTGTGACGAGATAGTACGAGGACTCGCGGATGAGTAATAGCGACAAAACACCGAAGCGGGCAGTGAAGCTGCGCTTGGCATGCTCTTCGTGCAAGGGATCCTTGACGCCATTCCAAACCATCTTCATGTGTCGCATACTCGCTTGAGCCCAGCCCTGAGCCCACCGGAGACGTTGCTTCCAGAATGCGCTGAAGGTTGTGGGGGCCAGCTCGTAGGAAGTTACATTGAGATCATGAACGGTTTTGGCACCTTTGGAGAATGCGCGAAGTGCAGAGTCGATGTCTTCAGTAAGCATTGTGTCGTCCATCTTCAGATTGCGAAGAAGCGATGTGCGCCAGTAACCGTTGGATCCACAGAAGAGACCAAATCCCCACATAGTAGAACGACCGGGATGAGAGACAGCGTAAATCTTGTCGAACTCGACTGCGATCATATTGGTCATGAAGCTGTCGTCGGAGTTGAAGATGATGCAGCGGCCTTGGACGATGTCGACATCCTTTTCGGCAACGAATCGCTCAGCGGCCCATCGGGGTGAGTTGGGATGAGGGTAGTGGTCGCAATCGTAGATGGCGATGATGTCAGATCCAGTGTCCAGCGTGAAGTAGTAGTTGAGATTGTCTGCCTTGGAAGTCGAGTTGGGTACCTTGATGACCCTTGCGTGGGGGAAGCGCATAGGAAGTTGATGCAGCTCAGTCTCCAATGGCTCGATTGGCTTGGGGGTGTTGTAGAGGATGACGATACGGATCTTGTCAGAGGGGTAATCGAGCTGTTCAAGCGCGTAAAGAGCGCGGTCCATGATGATGTCCTGCTCATTGGGTAGGTAGGCGACGATGAGAAGATCGAGGATGGGTAGCTTGTGGTGTGGCGTGGGGAATAGCCACTGCTTCTCCTGCGCTTGCGTGACGATTGCTCTTGCCTCGCGGCAGGGCGTGATACTGAAGAAGGCCTCCAAGACGGTTGTGCCGGCAATGTAAAAGTTGGTGCACATGTATATGAACCAGAAGATGGCAATCAGCCCGTTGCTGCAGTACATGTAGAGGCATACCGAGAAGACGTAGTAGGAGGCGACCAGACCGAAGGGCGTCCACTCAGAGATCCAGGAAGATGTCCGACCGATTGCCTCAGTAGCGATGGAAGGATTTTTGG